GTCGCCCCGTGCGACATTTACCTTAAGTGCGCCACTGACCATATGCGACGAAGGTAAATTTCACACGTCAAGTTTCATCATTCGTCAGTGGCTTGTGTGTAAATACAAAAAATAAAAATAAATCAATGCAGAATGAATATACATTGTTTCATCTGCATATGCATTCGATGTCATGATTATTTAAACAAAAGAGTATGTCATGTTTGTATATAAAAAGATGTATGTCATGACTGTATACACAATGGTGTATATGATGAATGGATATACAAAGATGTATGTCATGACTATATACAATGGTGTATATGATGACTATATACAAAGACGTATGTCATGGCTGTATATACAATGGTATATACGATGACTGTATATACAAAGATGTATATCATGACTATATACAATGGTGTATATGATGACTATATACAAAGATGTATGTCATGACTACATACAATGGTGTATATGATGACTATACACAAAGATGTATGGTATGTCATGACTGTATATACAATGGTGTATATGATGACTATATACAAAAATGTATGTCATGACGGTATACACAAAAGTATATAAGATGATTATATACAAAGATATATGTCATGACTGTATATACAATGGTGTATATGATGACTATATACAAAGATGTATGTCATGACTGTATATACAAAAGTATATATGATGACTGTATATTCGAAGATGTATGTCATTACTGTATATTCAAAGATATATGTCATGACTGTATATACAAACGTATAGGTCATGACTGTATATACAAAGGTGTATATGTCATGTCTGTATATACAAAGATGTATGTCATGACTGTATACACAATGGTGTATATGATGACTGTATATACAAAGATGTATGTCATGACTATATACAATGGTGTATATGATGACTTTATATACAAAGATGTATGTCATGACTATATACAATGGTGTATATGATGACTATATACAAAGATGCATGGTTTTATATACAAAGATATGCAAAGATACATGGTTGCATATACAAAGGTGTAGGTCATGACTGTATATACAAAGGTGTATATCATGGCTGTATATACAAAGGTGTGTGTCATGGCTGTATATACAAAGGTGTAGGTCATGACTGTATATACAAAAGTGTATGTTATGGCTGTATATACAAAGGTTTAGGTCATGATTGTATAAACAAACGTGTAGGCCATGACTGTATATACAACGATGTATGTCATGGCTATATACAAAGGTGTATAGATCATGACTATATATATATATATATATATATATATATATATATATATATATATATATATATATATATATATATATATATATGTTATGAATGTGTATACAATGGTGTATATATTGACTGTATATACAATGGTGTATATGACGACTGTATATACAAAGGTGTATGTCATAACTGTATATACAAAGGTGTATATGATGACTATATACAATGATGTATCTGACGACTGTATATACAAAGTTATATGTCATGACTGTATATACAAAGATGTTTATTACGACTGTATATACAAAGGTGTTTATTATGACTGTATATACAAAGATGTATGTCATGACTGTATATACAAAGGTGTTTATTACGACTGTATATACAAATGTGTCTATTACGACTGTATATACAATGGTGTATATGATGACTGTATATACAAAGGTGTCTATTACGACTGTATATACAAAAATGTATATCATGTCTGTATATACAAAGGTATAGGTCATGACTGTAAATATAAAGGTGTGTCATGACTATATGTACAAATGTACTATATGATTACTGTATATACATAGGTGTCTATTACGACTTTATATACAAAGGTGTATATGATGAATGTATATACAAAGGTGTATGTGATGACTGTATATACAAAGGTGTATATGTTGATTGCATAACCAAAGGTGTATGTCATAACTACTGTATATACAAAGGCGCATGTGCTGATTGTGAGCTACTTTTTTTCAACAGTTTAATAATACGTGTACCTTCCAAAGATGACTTGACATTTAGTGATAATTCGATATTATTGTTCAGCTGCTGCTTGGAACTTTATGCATGCGACACAATCCAATTTTATATATCCGATGAAACGTTTCTTCCTGGCGTACATTACCTGAATTCTAGTACTTGTGTAAAACTAACTATATTAAATTTGGACTGTTTATATATTTTGCTCACGAATGGTCTGTAATGCATATGCTTATATTCATATTAAAATATTTGCTGAAATCAGTTTTGGCGTGGATCCACCTAATAATAGCTCGTACCCGTCCAGTCAAAATTATATAGTTGTGCAGGCACTGTTAAATCTGTGCCCCATTCAAAAATGATCGTATAAAGCAGATTTTTTTTTTATTATTTCAAGCAAGTTGATATTTTTTTCAAATCGCATTTTCGTTTAAATCCACCGTTTTTGCTCGATTATGTCGATCACGTTTAAAAGGAAAGTTTACATGATACCATCATTATAAATTTCTTGACGGGTACACTGTACTATTTACAGCCATCGTGTTTGATTAGTTTTCTATTTTCGCCAAAACTTTCTCTTGCATTTTTTAAACTCGCAGTTTAGTATTGTCGGGCAAACCGTTCAATTTACGCCACACGAGGAGGAAACCTTTCCTGTACGAACATGTGTGTGTGTGTGTGTGTGTGTGTGTGTTGGGCTTGTAACATAGCTTTATGTTCATTTATACTAGTACAATGTCTGCAGTGTGGCAGTTTATAGCGATGTATAGCACTGGGGCATAATGCCGAAGACATGTAACATCGTGCCACACCTTGCGACATTATCCTGTCACCAGGCAGACAAGTCCTAACACTAACCTCTTAATGCTGAACCCCTAGCGAGGCACCTGTTTATACCATTTTTATAAGTCTTTGGAATTACTCGGCCCTGGTGCAAACCCATGACCTCCCGCATCCGAGGCGGAAGCTAATCACGAGACCACTTGAACAGTCTCCAATAAGGACGTACTCTCCTACTTTAAGAAATATAAACAGTCCATAACATATATTTTTGTAGTAAATCGATTTTACTAAAAGATCATCCTTTGTCATTTTCAATAAGACAGGTAAAGTAAATATAATTAAATTATCATTATTATATGTCGCTAGATGGTGTGTGTGCGATGGAATTTCTAGACTGGTTCTCTATCCTTAAAATAATTTGCTTGTGAGCTTCTGAAAGAATGAACCAGAGAATCTGCCATACACAAACGTCATTCTTGAGTAAAGTTTGGAAAAATGCCCATTAATGAGTTTTCTAATTGTTTCATCAATTAAAAGATACCGAAAAAGATCATATATTTATATGAAGTAATAAACATAAATATCTTACGATATCAATTAAACGTTGTATGGGACATCCACTACACACTGAATTAACTAAGTTTCCGTTACAGATAAACAAGCACCTGAATACTATCCAGCCAAACGTTGATACATAATTAAATGATTGTATTCATCACACCGACGATGGTTCTCAAAAACTGAAGCTATATTATTACAGGTTTTAATGTTCCATTTCGGTGTAACTTAATGTGCTGTGACTACGTTTCTTCTCGCATAATATCAATTAAAGTCCTTACAATAGCAGAGAATGAGGCAAGTCAGCTAAACTAAACCCTTCACAAAGAAGCTGTCATGACATGGGAATTGTATTCAAAAGGTGCATTATCCATTTCCACATTAAATGTAAATCTCCATTGTTACCTTTATGTTGAAATATTCATTGTACCGATACAAGACATCTGTAGCGGTTCACTCAGAGATGTGTGGCTTTGTTAGGGCTTTATTCAAGCAACAATAGTGCGCTAGGGGAATTTGACCCGTCTCTTTTTACGCCATTGTTTGGAGTTTATTCCGCTTGAAATACGACGGGTGAATTTCAGCGTTATGGAGATTCAAATACAGATTCAGTGCGGAGAGTGTTAGTGTAGTGTTGTTGATGTCAGGTTACTGGATCCTGTTTATATTGTAATTAGAGCCAAGGTAAACGGGTGGAAAAGTGTATGGTTACGTACGATGGTCTACCCGATATATACGTGCCTTTATTGAAGCCACGGTGGCACGACATGGTGTGGTCCTTTTTTGTAATAATGTCAACTTTCCTTTCAATGATATCCCATCTGTGTTGTGCAATAAGTAACAAAGTGGTAATTAGATAGACTAGATGAGTTTTAAAGCACTTCGCCGTCCCCCTCTCTGTAAATGTATCCGTGCCAGTCATCAAAGTAAACGAAGCTAAAAATGAATGTTAGTGCGCAGGTTTTGTCATCTCGCATTAATCTAATTTTATAATCGTGTATTCATTACAATTACACGATACTGTTAAATCTTCTGAAAATCAGTGTATAATGTAATACGTCGGGAATCATGGATGAAGATTTTGACAACGCTCTGCACATTCTGCCCGGTTTTAATAAGAGATACTATTTTAACATCGGGATTTCGGTGTCAACCTTATCGCGAAACTTTGCAAATATTTGATAATCTAGATAACAAATTTACCTTCGAATACGAAGCCGATATAGCATATTGCACATTTAAACGTTATACCAGTCACCCTTGTGTCATGTTTTGTATAATTTTAGTTATTTAATGCATATTGGTAACAGGCTTATCTTTCTCGAACCTCGTGCAAGAAGTTTTGGTTATGGTAGAGCACAGTTTTAATATAAAACACAGATGCAATAGAAGCATTATGTCAGCTCTGTGAATTCATACTAGCTCGAGCTAGGATGTGTGTGTGAGAGTGTGCGTGTGTGTGATTTACACTTTTTACGTAGTTTTAAAAATTTTTAAGTCACATCGCTACGACGTCTTCAGTGTGGCAGTTTATAGTGATATCTAGCGCTGGGGGCATCATGCCGAAGACATGTAATATCATGTCCCACCCAGTCACATTAACCTCACACCAGGCCGACCAGTCCTAACACTAATATCTTAATGCTGAGCACCAAGTGAGGCAGCTGTTGGTGCCAAGTTTATAAGTCCTTGTATGACTCGGCTGGGGTTCGAACCCGCGACCTCTCGCATCCGAGGCGGACGTTCTAACCATTAAGACACCGGAGAGGTTTGTGCGAGGATGTAACCATAACCATGTATAGACAAACTTTTTATGATTTAATAATGCAGTACACTTACAAATAATTACACTCAATAAGAGTGTACATTTAGCACAGTTTTAGAGGTGGAATGAACGCCCATAATTTGTAACGTTATCCTTTGTGTGCTTTTTTAATTTTGTGCAATGGTGATCCTCAGAATCCTATATATTTCTATTATTTTTACCATCGGGCAGTAAAAAGATGATATGTCATACACATAAGCAGAAGGGTATTGTAAAATTTTAAGAACTATATTTTATGAACATTAACACATCGAGCCCAATAACGTCCTTTTATGACTCTTTCTACTGTTATCCGTTCTATATGCTTAAGCTCCATGAAAGTTGTTGTTGTTGTGGGGCTTAACGCCATTTTTCAGCACACGATAGGATATACATGGCGGCCAGTGTTAATGTTTGAGGAAGAAACCGCGAAAATCCGCGAAAGAACCACCGACCCACGAGAAGCTACTGGCAAGATTTCTCACATATCCACATTTCGATACATAAGAATATGAAAACTGTAACGGGTTTGGACCCAAGCTCAAGCAAAATATATTGCTCTCTCCCAACACGATAAATAAATTGAACTAAAGTGAATAGCATGAATCACATAATTAATATGGCACATATGACCATTTGTTCAGCCGTTTTTATTTCCTTTCTTTTGGACCTTATATATTCACGAATGATACACAAAAGGGTGATCGCCTAATTTAAATATAAATAAACAAATTACATATTTTCGCTTGTATTTTAGAGTTTTAAAACCTCACCTATTGAGAAACTTAAACTCCCTTTTTGTTGCTTTTTGCTTAACTGGATATACTTGTGTCATGAAACATTTATTATAAGTTACAAAGCACTGGCATTTCGTTGCGGATTAATTTCTTTCCTTGTGGGTTTTCGAATAGATCTTTCACGAAACGTATTGTTACTGTTTTGTTACTGTTCTGAGACACATGATCAACTATTCATAAAAATCAAACATTTTACTCAATGAAAATACCCTGTGTTGAATAGGAACAAAATTTCAGGTCAACCCAAAATTATTATTCTAATATATATGTTGGTCAAGATAATTATATAGTTTCGATAATTGGAACCAAATTTACAAATTGACACTCTCAAACCCCCCCTCAAAATACAATACTATAAGAATGTACACAGATCAAAACACAATAATTTAATCTTTCTGTATCAATAATTCATTAGTTAGACAAAAGTCAAACTAAAGCCATATCAATAATGAGAAAGCTGATTATATTCAACTAAATAATGTGCTTTGACAAGATATTTATGGCAACACGTTAAAGATAAATCATACTTGTTTCTTTATAAATGAATACACAATGATATACATTGTCAGACGATGCTTTCAGTTTCAAGTGTGAATAATTACTTTTGTAACGAACGGATTGTTTACTATACAATGGTTGTGTGCAATATGTCAAAGAATCAATATATCTATTCATGGTTTGATAGTCAAACATGACTTGGTTTCTGTCAATAATTGCCAGACGTATAAAAGGCGCATCGAACCATATCTATAAAATATTAAAGGTTCTTCTATTTCATCTATAACAAATTCTAGATAAATTGTTACGTCTATCTTCACAAGAACAATGGTCAATACCAGCATGTCAACCAGTTTTTCAGTGGCTAACATGTTATTATTATTATTATTATTATTATTATTATTATTATTATTATTATTATTATTATTATTATTATTATTATTATTATTATTATTATTTTATTATTATTATTGTTATTAGTATATATATATATATATATATATATATATATATATATATATATATATATATATATATATATATATATATATATATATATATATATATATGGAGGTAAAAATGCTGAACAAAAAAAAACAAAGAAACTGATAAGGAATGCTAAGTAAGGCGATGCAATGATGACAATATGATGAGGAACAATCTCATCTATAAAGTTTATTTTTAAAAGTTTTAGGATACAATTGTCTACAGACAATATCAACCAGTCCACGGTCAGACCAAATCTAGGAGGAACAAATTCAACATCTAGAATCTTTTTCAAATCTTTAGTTCTCATTTTACAAATACCAAGTTGCTAGAACACAAGATTTTATGACGTCACCGTTTTACACACAGAACTTCAACACCACTTTGTCGTGATGCTTGGCAGAGGTTTACTAAAGTGTTATACACAATAATGTAGGCCCATTGTTTGGCTGAGGTGCCTATGATAAATACGATTCTGGAGTAGACTGTATTCATTTGTGGAGAAGTTAGTGGGAATCCTCTTTTTTGAGAGGATCAAGAGTAGTGCTGATAGATGATTATTATAGCAACAGTTTGTTCAAATTGAGGAATATGGTTGATAAAGACTATTATAGTCTTACCTTAATCTGGCATTAGGATACCTTTATCCATATATATATATATATATATATATATATATATATATATATATATATATATATATATATATATATATATATATATATTTCACCGCAACTCATGCAAAATGCATTGAAGTGGTTGTGGTCATAGTACAGAAGTAGATGTTTTTGATTAGCCCCCACGACATTATATATTTTCTGCAGTTGAAGATGAATGCGGCTTTCCGTATCTGGACCAAATTTTGTCCTACCCACCCTACAAATTTAGGACTAAAATCTGGTTCGCCAATGATGCTATTAAGAAACTAATTGATGAACTGATCAATCGTAAAATTGGTACTATGGAAAGAATTGAAAGTACTTCAGATTCTGTCACGTTTAGTATTTGTTAGGAAACTTAGACTGTACACATTGTTAAGTTTACCTTTTACAAGTTTTATCTAGCTATGACGTGTACAATTACCAAACAAGTGATTTTTCCATTGACATCATCATTTGCAGTTGCTATCACGTTTCACAAGGAATTGATCCTAAAGATTTCAAAAGGGCATTTATTACAAAGGAAAATGGTGTTTCAGTGAGTAGTGTGAAATCTAAAGATGACCTAATGGTGAAATGTAAACCTTCGGTCTGCAGATAGCATTCCAAAACTGTTGATCTTCATTATGAAGATGATGCTCTGACTAAAAAGTCTGTTGTATACCTTGAAGAAGAAGAAGAAGAAGAAGAAGAAGAAGAAGAAGAAGAAGAAGAAGAAGAAGAAGAAGAAGAAGAAGAAGATAATGACGATGACGACGGCGATGATGATGACGACGACGAAGACGAAGAAGAAGAAGAGTTCTCCAGATTTAGTATACATTTGACAAAGTCCGTTGTTGATTAATCTAATAACAACAGCATTGGCACGCTGCGGACAAATTGATTCGGGTGGGAATGAAAATGGACAAGCCCGCTATTTTAAGTGAGAAGAGAAAGCGTGCATTAGATATAAATAAGACTCGGATGAATACTGATGGAATAATTTAAATGACAAACATGAGCTAAAAATAAACCCAGCTGTTGTTGATTTCTAAATTGCAATTGCAGCGTAGGTTATTTGCGACTTTAAAGAAAAATGATACTTCTAAATGCTAGATTGAATAATGCGTCATATCAAAAGCAATCTGAGAATATGGTATCACCTACCGTATCTGACATAGAGTGGTGTTGGCTTCTTGTGCTTATAACTATGACGTCATCAAATCTTGTATTCCAGCTTTTGTCTGAAATCGGTTGACCCATGGGTGTCACCGATCAACATTTGATTAATTCGTGCGCATGTGAAAAATGGCCGTGTTCTCACTTTGAGGGAAAGTAACATGTCTCAAATTTGACAAAACGACGATGTTGTCTAGTTTTTATGACGCTCCAACGATGTTTAGGACCAATAATTATCAAGATTTAGTATTGTTCAGATAATCTGGCATATACGACTTCTTAGACGCAACGGCATTATTTGGGGCCTTAAGTCTTCATTCATATCGTGTAATGTAACTCAGTCCTTGTACACAAAATATTTCTTATATATTAATGAAAGTGTAGGTGTGCAAGTTCAAGAAAGATTTAATTTCTTGCAATTCAGAAGTGGAACGCGCTTACATAGAATGTAATGGAAATGAAATAGTATATGTTTTAGACATTTAACGTGAAATTCATAAAGAATTATCACATCCCCGTAGACATTTTTAATAAGTCTGATTATAGTCAGATATCCACTGTCCTACGTGAAGATCTGACAGCGATCGCTTATGGGTCCTGCTCTGGTGACCTTTGAATTGGCCAATGGAAATGCAGCTTTCAGAAATTTGAAAGTGAATCAGATTGTTCGGCACAATTTGATGCTTTCAGCCATACTATTCAGTCTTACAGACGCGAAAATATAATAGTCTATTTGCCTGGTTGATAAAGTTAGCGAGTATTTTTATTATATAAGCAACCAGAAGACGACCCGTAATAGGTCAGATCTTTATGTCGGATAGTGGAGACTTGATATTAATCAGATTCGGGCCTAGTGGCATTTATGTTGCTGCTACTCATCCTGAAGCAGAAAGACAGGAAGATATTTTCTCACATTTCTGAAGAACAATATGAACAAGAGAAATAGATATAGAGTTCAATGTTGCACAAATTAAGTTTTGTTTTTGGACAAGAAAATTTAGTATATACAAGGGTACATGTTAAACTGGAAATGTTAACCTGGGAAACAACGACAGAAGCTTTAATGGTTAGACACATTGTAAGAAATAATACCCTCTTCATTTTGTGATCGACTGCTTCGATACGTTCTTAGTTATCGTCTGGTTAATGTTAACATGTAATTTATATATATATATATATATATATATATATATATATATATATATATATATATATATATATATATATATATATATATATATATATATATGTGTGTGTGTGTGTGTGTGTGTTCGAATGTTTCCATTATAGATGCTGATACATTGAAATGCTTTTATGAACTTTTTTAGATTTAGTATAGAAAATTCATTCATTGAATATCAACAAACGA